TTTTTGAATTTTTGTTAAAAAATTATTTGCCAAAAAAAGTTAAAAAAATTCACTTTATTTAAATAATGAAAAGATTCTTTTTAATTATAATGAAAAATAAAAGAAAAAGTTTAATCTCTAAATTCATATTGAATTGTGTGAAAAAAAAAAATAAAATAAAATAAACAAATATTTGAGCTTCTATTTATAAAATTATTGCAAATCTTGAGAGAGAAAAAAAAAAAACTAAAATATTCATTTTTCTTTTTCGTTCTTTTTTTTAATTTTTATCACTTTATTAAAAAAAAAACATTTAATGCTATATTTAAGTGTTAAAATTAAAAAATTTATTTCATTATTTTCCCATCACTGATTGAATTTATTTCAACAAAATAACAAAAAATAAAAAATTATTATTTAATGCAAAAAAAAAAAATAAATTTTTCACATGAAAAATTATAGTTTTAGGGAAATTTTTTGAAAAAACATTGTCATTATGAAATGAAAAAAGAAAAAAAAAATCGAAAAAATGTAAACTTGCATAACTTGTTTCTGAGAATAAAAATGTTAAAAGTATAATTAACAAAATAATTAAATACAAATAAGTAGACGAAAAAATATTATTCAAAATATTTCACTAAAATATATATACTTTTACAAATGATTATTCATGAAGGTTTCTTTTCTGTTTTTATTTTCAATTATAAAATTTGAATTTTTAAAAAATTGAAGAAAAATGAAAAGTATAAAATTTTGATTAGATTTTTTAACGACGAAATTAACAAAATGAAAAGTTGCGGGAAAAAAAAGCGGCAAAAAAAAAGTCAAAAGTGAAAATAGTATCGGAAAAAATGGAAAAAAAAACTTTCATTTCAGAAAAAAAAAATTCAAGAAAAAAAGGAAAAAAAACTGGAATTTTCTCACAAAAATTTTTTCCAATCAAATAAATGTAATTGATTAAATTCCATACACACATACACAAAAAAAAAGTAATTCAAATTGTAATTTGTGTTAAACATTAAACGAAATGAAAAAAATTATTGGTACATTTCTTCTTTTTTTTTGCTAAATTTATTTATTTTTTTTTGCTAAGCTTCTTATATATCATTTAATTATTTCAATTTATAATTCATTTTATCAGTTATCAAATTCCTTTCATTAATTTTTCTATTTCTTTTTTTTGTCTTATTTTATTTACATTTAAAATAAAAATGCAAAAATTTATTTGTAATTTTTGTATAAATAATCTAAAATTTATATTAATTTATATAAAAAAATGCAGTTCTTTTTTTTGACTAAAATTAATATTAATTTTTATTAATTAAAAATTTTCATTGTATTCATTGAATTTATATAATCATATACATATCGTAGTAATTTTTTTTTTTTTTAAATTGCCATTTATTACATCCATACTTGATTAATTTCATTACGAATGTAAAATTTATTCAATTTCCAATTTAATCAAAAAAAAAAATGTAAGATACGGAGAGTTTTGTTAACTAAGAGCAAAAAATAAATGATATGAGTACGAGTATGAGTAATAATAATAATATATGATTAATATGAGTAATTAATTTAAAATGATTGGTATGAGTAAATTAATTTGTATTAATTAAAAAATTAAACTTCGCATGTTAGTATTTTACATTCTTTAATTTCCTTTTTTTTTTAAAAAAAAGATTATTAAACTTATAATTTCAAGATTTTTTTTCTCAATAAATGAAAAGATATTAACAAGGCAAAAAAAAAAAAAGAAAAAGAGAAAAAAAGAAAAATGGAAATTAATTAATTAATAATTAATATATACATGTACTTGTATTAATATTACTACAATACTATGAACACATCTTTGTCAACTTAATTTTGTCAACTAAGATAGGAAAAGTAAAAAAAAACAAATGATATGAGTACACAAAAAATGAGATAAATTTAAGCATTAATTCACGATTCATCATCATCAAATTGAACTATTCAATAGATATTCTTCACTATTACTAAATTAACAATTAAATTATTATGTCTGTATATGTGTGTGTGTGTGTGTGTGTGTGTGTCTGTGTGTTCGTGCACGGGTGTGTGTGTCCGTACACGGCTGTGTGTGTGTGTCCGTACACGGATGTGTGTGTGTGTGTGTCCGTGCACCGGTGTGTGTCCGTACACGGATGTGTGTGTGTGTGTGTACACGGATGTGTGTGTGTGTGTACACGGATGTGTGTGTGTGTGTACACGGATGTGTGTGTGTGTGTACACGGATGTGTGTGTGTCTGTACATAGGTGTGTGTGTGTGTGTGTGTACTTAATGGTCAGTGTATTCTTACTATTATGTAATGTTTACAAACAAACGATATAGCAATACTTTGTAAACTAATTAAACATCACGAACAGGATAATGTTGAATAAAGGATTGATCATTTCTTATATTTCGTCATTCATTACCTTAATGATTGCTCTTGTTAGTTGTTGTAGTAGTAGTAGTAATGGTAGTAATGTGTAAAATAGTATAAAATAGATTAATTAATTCTAAATTAATTACTTTAATTAATTCTCATTTGGTTTTCTTCGGTTTATATTTGCATTTTATAATTGAATGAAAATAATCAAATTTAATTAATAATGAAAATTTTACGAAATGCTTCAAAGAATTATAAATTTTTGTCTTTTTTTTTCAAACTGTTAATTTAAAATTATAATGATACAATGAATGAAATGGAAGATTATAGGAATTTTAATCGTTACTTCACATTAATTTGTAGTAAAGACAGTAAAAATGAATAATACGAGATTTGCTAATCAATTTCAAATTAATTATTCCAATTTATTTTCCATTTATCTTATTTAAATTATATTTACAAAGCTATGATTTCAGAATGTTATTCCAATGGTTGCTATCCTGGTATATACTAGCAAATGCAGTTAATGCAACTGAATTTGGTCGTTGGAGGAGAAGTGGTAAAATTTTTTGCATAACTTCAAATCTATTATTAATGAAATTAATTTTAATCAATTTTGTCATACTGCAAGAAAGTATTAGAAATTCTTCGATATTGATTAAAGCAACAACATATTAAAACATGAAGATATCAAATATAGTACTCTTTTTTTTTTCCTTTTTCTCAATGAGCATATCAGAATATCAATGATATTGTTGTACGACTATTGATATTATCAGAATAATTTTAGGAAATAAAACACCCTGGTATTTATCATCAGTTTCGGGTTCAGGTACATTCACAAATTATGATAATAATGATTGGAAGCCATATCAGATAATAGATCATGAGGTGACACCAAATCGACAAATTACAACATACAATCAAAATAGCGCACCACAACAACTATTGGTATAATATTTTGAAATATGCTAATAATTTATGCAGAAATTGAAGTTATACGTTATTGTATGAATAAATGCAAACTTCTTTCTTTCTTTCTTTTTCTTTTTTTTTTCGTTTTATAGGAAAACGGGGAATTATTTTGGAAAATTCGAAATATACTTCAAAAAATGAGTTCCCAAATAAATATGAACGATTTAAATTCCATATGGAAAAGTATTCAAAATGGTAAGTATAACTTTTTGGTATGCTAAAATTATCCTAAGATTATAAGTTAAAGATTATAAATAAGTTATTCGATTATTCGAATAAAGATTATAAGTATTTTTCAAATAATCTTTATTCTCAATAATAAATGTGAATAATTGGTTGAGGTGGATTGAGTGAAAAAATTGAAATGTTTCTCCAACAGCAACAACAGGAAAGACAATTTCCAAGCAATGGTTATGATACATTTTGGAAACAATCAAGACAATTTGTCCCTCTTCAATGATCAATAAAGGATTCCGGGCATATTTTTTTAATACCAAATCTAAAACTGATAATGCATTAATATAACATTGGAAAAAATAAAAATAATAATAGCAATATAAAAGATAACACTATAGTAAGATGATAATAATAATAACAATAATAATAATTATAACAATAATAATTGTAATAATAATAATAGTAATAATAATAATAGTGGTAATAAATAATAATAATAATAATAATAATAATAATAATAATAATAATCGTAATAATAGCAATAATAATTACTGTTATGGTTTGATGTTAACGAGTAAAACATCATAGTAAGATATGATTGCACATTTTTCGCAAATTACAACGCAATCATCAACAGAATTTACAATTTTGAATTATATTTTACATCAAACAAAGTTGATATTCATCAGAGGCAATATTTAGTACATATAATCTATCAGTGACAATATAAAATCTTCTAATGTAAGCTAAAATTTTGCAAAATATGTTAATTTCCTCAATGATCTCTAGTAATTAGTATAATGGTATGAAGCATAATAATGCAATATTTAAAGGAAACAGTACATGATCTAACAATATGTCATTTTTTAATGATCTTCTGAGAATATATAAGGAAATAGAAGATTGATAATTTCTATAACAATAAAAGGCTTTTATTCTTCTTTTTGAAAATAGATCAATCATTCAGTACAGTCATTGTAAGAGATTGTAATAAGATCAATCTATGTATGGAATGAAATATAATTTCCAATATAGTAATCAACAGTTATTTCATTTTAGAGTTTTCAAGGAAAAAAAAGACAATATTGATCATTCTAATCAATTGCATTGATGTTACAATCTTTATCTCATAAATGTGATATCAATTTCTCTAGAAAGTGTTACATGGATAACGAGATTTTCTCTTCAACAATATCCTATAATAAATACTTTGACACGTAGTTAATCGTGAAAGAAGATTTGGCAGTACAAATAATGAATAAAATCACGATCATGAAAGAAATGGGCATTAATCGAAAAGTGTTTGGATTACAAAAATTAATAATAAGTAAAATAATATATACATTCAATGTGCATAAAGAAACTACACACGGTAATTTTTACTCATTAGTATTGACAGTTCTGAACTGTGCTAACGCTTTCATCGGTGGCATCGGACGTTTCTCCGAGGCTCTACGCACAATTCCATGAGGTTTATTATAAACTCTAACAAGCGGTTGTTTCTGCGGTGGTGCCATTTTCCATTCAACCAATGATGGTGCTGCTGTATTCTTCCGTCGGTACTGAAATTTGAACTCGTGAAATTCCTACATGATTACATGATTAAATTATCTATAGGTATTACACCATTACGTTATCATATTTCATTATATTGCAACTAAATGGCCGGAACAAATTTTTGATATTAAAAGAAAAAAAAGGCAAAGTAGCGAATTTATAAAAACAATATAAAAGCATAGAAATTATTCCTAAGCTAGCAACTATCAACTATCAATGTATTCCTTAATAATTGGCACCTCCATATAATGTCAAAAGGTTCGTAATACAACTTCTTCCCTTCACTGTAATCCCAAATACTTTTTTTTTCGAATATTGCTTAATCGCTTTCCACAAAATACCTCAAACTCAAGACTTATCCCTCAAAATATACCTCAAACTACAAAAAACCTAAAATATCTCAAACTTAAGTCTGCTCAAGATTTACCTCTTAGAAACCAACAAGTAATTATATTGGAACGGTATATGGAACATTTTTTTGCCATTTCTTTTTTTTTTTTAAACTATTTCAAGCTATTCACAATAAAGAAAACTGGTAAAAGATGTAATTACGATTATATTATACTCAGTTTGTTGCACCTCCCAAAATGGCATATTAGTAAGCATTTCATTATGAAGTCAACTTTTTCTTTGTAGCAATCTATCAAGAAAACCTTACCTGAGCTTCACAGCTTCTGGAAAAGCTCAATTTAGTACTCATATGATATTCTTCTATATTTTCGATTCTCCTCATTTTGAATGATCAACTTTTATCACTTACAACATACTAAATGTTATCAGTTTATTACATCAAATTGTTGCTTTACATTCATATTATGGCATGTTATTTTTCGGGAATATTTCGTGAGGAGAATTTTCGTTCACCATTCAATTACGTGGGTAGCGCATAACATCACAACATAGTGTAACGTTATTTCATGCCTGTGACACTAACATAAACTAAGTAGCTCAATTTCTGAGGATATTTTGAATATGGTGATAGTTATACTCAATCACTTAACTAGTGTTTTTTTTCTATTACAGTAACTAATTCATGATTTTCTTTACATAAAATTTATTTCTTAAATGCACACTAAAGCTTTCTATCATATATTTCGGTATGTGAAGGTCAAATACAAACTAAAAATCCTATCACTATATCCAACAGAGTACCATTATACATTATCCAACAGAAGAATAATAGCATTCAGAGAATATTAGAAAAAAGAGGACTGAAACAAGAAGTGAAACATTTTATTCAAAATCCTCTCAGTGATTCGTCTGATGTTCTAATGGACAGGAAAAGTACACAAATAAGTCAAGCCCCCTTTTCAGAAACAATTCAAATCGAATAGTGCTATACACTTTTGCAGTATTATGGCACAATTGAGTAAATGGTGCAAAAAAAAATACCTTGGTACTCGCAATATATGCAGCTTTGACCGTCAATACAACAGCATTCAGTAGATTCCTGGCAGTTTGAATCAGAGACATTGCTGATTCAAGACCGCTAACCACCAGCTCATTGCCAACTTGCTGTACATCTGCCTTTACCTATAAATGGAATGAAAAGATATAATTTCTTTCTTTAACAATACATTTTTTCTGACTGAAATCTCCACAAAAATAATGAAAGAAAAAAATTATAAAACGCACAAAATCTCGCCTAACACCAAACATACAAATGATAAAAGAGTAAAAACCTTTATATGGCTATAACAAAAACAGTACAAAGCTCTTCATTTTAAAACCTTAGTTTATCATCTATATTTGATTGTTCTAGTTAAACATGGAATATATTTATAAGATGCCTTTTTTTTTGGTCATTGTCTTACTGAAGTTATTTCCAGAAAAATGTAACTCTATTTCATTCCATTCCATTTATCGCTAAGTCCAAGTTAAGGACTTATTTGCACCACCATCCCACAACACATTAGTTAATACAGTACCAAACTGTGACCCGTGCAGCTTCATTAGTGAATTAGTCAGCAAGACATACTCTGCTAGTTATATTCAATTGCTGACAGTAGAGAGTTATTCTTTGTAGGTACGCAAAAAGATCCTTTTTTGTTTCACTTTCTACGCTTTCATCGCCAATTTGTTTAGCCAAAGAATTTAGTTTTGCACCCGCATCGGAAATTTCTTGCGCAGCTTTAATAACATCCATAGTGGTCTTTAAAGGACCACGACCTCTGTAATTCATATCATCTTGAATTGAGAGATACCCATCGATCACCAAACTTAGCACTCTTAACCACTCTAATCCTTGGAGTAAATCAGATGGGCAATAGGGCTTCATTATTTTCTTTATTTCCTTATTTCTTGAATTGTGTTGTGTTTAATTTAACTAATTTAACTCGTACAGCATGATCTGGAAGAAATTCAATCCTATTCCATTTCATCCCAATTAACTGTTTAAGACTACCTGTGGATTTGATAATCATAATCATATCATAAAGTCTCAAGATGTAATTTTTATAGACTGCTTGAAATACAAGAGAGGAAGAGTAATTCTTTTAAGTGATCTAACAGGGCAATGCGCAAAACCTAATGTTACATGTTACATGTGGTCAGGTAGTCTATTTCTCGCTTTTAATTTTTCAAAGAACAAACCTGGTAAAGTCAGTCATATTCATCATAATCATACACATATGTTTTGCTAGTACGATAATGTCATTTCCAGTTTCATCCCACTTTGCAACTTCTCTTTCAAATTTGCTTTGCGCTATCTGAAATAAGTACTATTCTCTTTTTACATTTGAAAAATTTGGAAAAGACTACACCATTACTCATAACTTCTTCTACTATTGAGGTAACTCCAAAACAAAATCAGTTTCTTGATGAAAAAAAAGCGGATGTGTAAGGGGATATGAATAAAAAACCAAACCTTGAAAACATCTAATTTGTTCCTGGATTTTTCGTTTTTCTTCTTCCGGTAGTCGTCGCATTATTTTTTGGTCATTTTCAACATCAGCTGTTTGGTTTCTTGAGTCTGGATAATTTGTTCCAGCATCTATAACAAGCAAACGATAGGAAAAAAAAGAGGTTTTTCACTCTATATTTTGTGTCAAGCCTCATACCTTCCTCGTATTCGTTGTCTGAATCAACATCTTCCGGATTCCGATTCATCAATAATGCATTCCGTATTTCTTTCACCGCATTGTGCACCAACTCACTAGCTTCGATGAACTCATCCACGTCATCGGTGTAATCTCTATTCTCACCACTATTTCCTTCTGCTACTTCGTTCTCCAGCTTGTTTACCACTTTCTCCGCTCGATCAGCAAATTGATTAATCACTGAAATAAGTATGCCTTTACTATCCCTACTATTAATTATTCTATTTATTATTATTAACAATACGTTTATGGATAAAAGTAATAATATAACACTATTACGATTATTCAGGATACTTCTCACCCTTTTAATATATCCGTCACCGTGAAATCAATGCCTTGTTGTATTTTTCCTATCTCGACTTGCTTGACAGTTCTAATACCCGTACCAGACAAAATACTATACATGCGATGCCTTTACTCTTTGCCTTACTTATAGTGTAAGATTCACCATCATCTCTTAGTAATTTAGTTGCCATCCGAACACGATCTCTGTACGAACTGGCTGCAACCAGATCCATTTCAGAGTCGACCACGCTGCAAACACGCAAAGAACGGCCGCGAATACCACCTGCAGATCGATCAAGTAAGAAACCATCTCCATTAATCACAGCCTGCAATTTGTATGAGACTAATTATTATATTCCGTTCTTGACCACATTATCATTAGTAAGCGTATCAACAATAGTTTTCAACAGCCGCATCAATGAAACGTTTCGAGAAAGACACCTGAATGCCGCTTTTCACATCTTCAATAATATGAGCCTCACTGACAGCCAGAAAGTCATCTACTGTTATCATCGCGTCGACAGCCATCGTTAGCAGCTTTACCTAAATAAATACTACAGTCTTATTATCACAGGATATCACAGTCAACAAATATTACGGAAGGGAAACATTACAAGAATATATTCTAAGGAAACAGTGGAATACTTGCCTTTTCTATCCATGCATTTTTAAAAGCATCCATATTATCCCTTGCCACTTGACTATCTCTTACGCTTAGCAAAAAAGCGGCGTTAACTACCTGCAAAAAAAATCAGCACTGTCGTTTGCTATTTAACAATATAATTTGAACTTTCATATCATATTACGATGTATATCCTAGAACACAGGAAGAAATCCTCTTCGCTTTTACAGTTGTAAAAGACTTAAGAACCACTAATTCGAGAAGTGAAACATATATATATATATATATATATATATATAGCTAACTTTTCACAAAATGATTTGAGGAACATTGACAGATTATTAAATACTAGATAGGAAAAAAAGGAAAAAAAAAAAGAAACGATGGTAATAAGTGCAGTAAGAAAAGGAAATACTACTTGGGGTGCAAGTTTATCAATAATTATGGCCGCATATCGAATAACACGAATACCATCTTCATTGTTACTCATCACGCATACCAGCTCTGCTGCCTAAAATGTGCGAAATGACTAATAAAACGTAATGAAATTGTACGTAGTATGCTTATCATCTTACTATATTGAGGATAATAAGAATACTTACGAAAACCTAACATGTAGTGCCGAAAAAGTGCAGATACCAAGCTTAAGGAACCCAACAACTCAATGGTTATTAGAGATAAGAAATGACCAACCCAACCACAACTGTTTGGTTAAAGTAAAACACACCTGTAAAAGTTTGTTCGTATGTTCCTGGAACATTTTACCATTTTCAACCGTAGCTCTTTCGTCATGTCTCTGAGCGCTCTCAATAAGCATCATTAGCGGGGTGATGGTATCTAGAAAGGCATCGCTTACATGATCCACAATAGCCCGTCGTAAATGTCTCCGCAGATCCTTTGTTTTATGCCCCAAATGAACCATCGCTAAGTCCAAATCTTCCGAAGGTTCTGCACGTCCACACTAAAGATGTGACAGTGTTCTTCGATTCAATTCTTTGTTCTCTTTTTGACTGTTATACTTAGATTTCTTGTTTGCAAAAAAATAAAAGATAAAAAAAATAGATAATAAGTGCAGCAGAAATGTTATAATTGTGAAATCAAGTGAAGCACAAACATTTTTTTCGTATTCAGCAAGCAAATCTTGCAAAGCTTGTCGCAGATTATTGCATTCATCAACGATTCTTTTTTTCCTTTCATCCCTCGTGTTTTCGGAATCAGCAATAGCGGCTACACCGCTCACAATCTTTTCTAAGAGACCTTCAAGTTCCGGCCGATGCAAATGATCCTTGTATGAACTTGGTTCCATATACGCTCGAGTCTGAAAAATTATTTTAAAAAATACGAGACCAGAATGACTACCTTTCCATCAGCATAAAATCTCGGTTAATCATAACAAATTTCTATAGAAAAAAAAAAACCTGAAAATGATCAAACTGTCGCATAAGATCACCAAGACGGCCGTGGTGGGAAAGACAGAACTCTTTATTGGTTGCAGAACCTTGCAAGATATCAGCCATGGCTTGTAAGGCTAATGAAACTTGTGCGTGAGCAAAATCACGATTTAAGCGCACCTGATCCACTTCCGGATGGCGTATGTATGCCTGAAAATAGTAACTAACATATTAGAATTTGTAACAATTCTTGTAACACATTTTTGTAACTTTTGTAACACACTCTCTAATTTTGCTCCTATATCAAAGCGTAATTTTATCAGGATAATCACAAGCGGTCATTATTTAATCTCTAGATACAGATGACCTGTGTCATCAGCTAAAATTAAAATCAAGGTATCAGTTTACCGTAGAGGAAGTATACATGATCATATTGTTCAGCTTAAGCCATGCTCGAGCTGCCTGCAAGTCATCCTGCTCAGCTGGATTCCGCAGCTCTAGGATACGCCGTTTGATATTTCCATCCAATTGTTCCATGCATGAGTTTAACGATTCAAATAATTCTGATAACTCCTGTTTCGATTCAGCTGCAACCAAGCGATCCATTATATCTTCCACCTGAAAACTAATTAAAAGAATGTTCTTCTAGATGAAAAAATGAAAATTGACAAGAAAACAGGGTGTATTTCTACTTTACATGCTTATAAATATATTAATTAATTCTTGCATTACGACCCCATCAAAGTTCCTTCCCTACTATATCTGTCTGATTCACAAAAAGAACCTCTGTATAATACCAACCTACTCTTCGAAATGTTTTGAATGATTGAAAGACATCTATTCTACATATTTTTGTTTGTTTCTCATCATACTACATAGTTGTATTACTATGCACCACTTGTTAACAAAAAGTGTTGAAAGTTCTATCCTAATCTCTCCATTTGCTAGAATACGAAAAAAATGATCACAGAGAGAAAAACTGAAAGCCGTGAGTAAATCCCAAATCGATTTTTCCTCAGGAAACTTTAATTTATCAAGTAATCTAAAAAATTAGATCCATACTTTAGCAACTTGAAGAAGCATCATGCGTACATCTACCATATCAGCCATAATAAGCATTCGTGCTACTACAGTTAACAAATTTCGAGCTGCCCGTATTGCACGTGCACGTCGATCTGTATTACTCGTCTCCTGCACAAAATCATGTCCTGTATTGACCATTTCGATACCTAAATCGAAGTAATAAACTTTATTGCTTATATCTACATTTTGAAACCTAGTGATTAGTTTGGTTCACGGAGGGAATTCAGCAAATAATTCAGCTCACGGGCAAAAACAACTGTATGAAGCATTTATTTCCCAAAACAAAGAGCAAACTTAGGTCTAGAAAACCACTGATACTACCAGTAACAATAAGGAGCAAGATTAATTTAAATGTCCTTTATATCTCATTTCACAATTCTAAAATCTATGATATAGAACAGAATTTTGATTTCATTTATCTTTTCTTCAACAAATTCAAAGCATATCGGGAAAGTATTCATCAAAATTGGCTTTTCTTCATCATAATAACGGAAAATTTAACAGTATGATGTAGGAGGGTTTTTGACGTTTTATTAGCCTTCGAGATCTCCTGCGAAACCGATCTCCTGCATTGTGCAAGTAACATGTAATACTGTTTATTAGTTTATCTATTACTTTAAAAGATGCCCTATTAATTCATAGTAAAAATTAGACTTACCTGCATGCTCCACATCCTGTAAAGTTTCATTCAACTGTTCCAAAGCATTTCCAACAGCAATTGGGCATTCAGCAATAGCTGATCGCCCTATTTCCACAAAATTACATACGGTTCGTTCGATAGCAGCTACTAATACAGCTCCACTCTTCCCACTGCGTTTTAATGAATGCATACCATTTGGGGTCATTAAATTTGTTACCTATGACAACAATGATTAGTCAATGCTAAAATATTTCAATTCTATAGCATATATTGTGTAAATGTAAATTAGTGTACATAACACTTGGTAATCCCTGTACTATGTTATAACTCACTATTTCTTTAACAGAATTCTTTAAAGATATTCGAACATGCTATATTTTTAATGAGCCAAAAGATTGAATAATTTGGAATCCCAATCAGAAGGATTAAACATGATCGATGAAGCGATCAAGCATTAGCACGTATCATTAACATAAATTAGATTTCGTGTAATCGAAAAATTCGAGTCTTGATCAATATAAACATTTATAATTCAATATCAAATTTATTATAGATTTAAATGTTAAAAAAAGAAAATTACCTGTTGTATCAGTGGTGCAATTAATTGTTCAACAGTTCTTGTTTTCACTCGATCAATATTCATTTCTGCTTGAACATTTGCCATCGATACCATCGTCTTTTCACTATTTTAACTCTTTAAATATTATCACTAATAATTTAAGATTTCTTTTTCAAAACCTAATAAAAACTATTCAAACGCTAAATAACTCTAGTAAATAAATACATTTAATACCATTTAAACGTAAAACTTTAGCAAAAAAAAAGAGTTAGCTCCAAAAATCATTAGCTATTAAAACCATTAGCTCATTAGCTATTAGCTCTAAGAATATAGTTCACCAGAATTTATCATATTCTCAATCTCTATTACAGTGCTACCCATGATGATACATTCCGATCAAATCATGATAAACTAATGACCCTTACCAATGACCATAACGATGGATATGAAATGAAAGTAATTGGGTCAACTGTGAAATATCAATCGGCCTATTTCGTATAACAGATAGTCGTTGGATCTATCGCTGCACACATTGTATTGGACACTCCCATGCCAAATAACATGCATGCATACAATGCAGCGCTCCCACGCTAAATAACATGCACGCATGCAATGCAGCACTCCCACGCTAAATAACATGCATGCATGCAATGCAGCACTCCCACGCTAAATAACATGCACGCATGCAATGCAGCACTTCCACGCTAAATAACATGCATGCA